AACCCACATGGGCCAGCGAAGGCCAGGCTGGTGCCCCTGGCCCCTGGGGGTCACAGGTGCAGCATGGACAGCAACCGTGGGATGGGCAGGCGACCCCTTCCACGGCCTGGGGAGCTGTTGTCTGGGCCAAGCACATGGCACAGTGACCCCAAACCCACACTTGGTTGGGGCCCACAGGGAAGTCACTGGGCAGCTACCCAGAGCTGGACCCCCTGACTGCAGTCCCAAGGGTGCATCAAATCACCAGAAATAGAAGGTGCCTCATCTGCTTCCCCACCTGAGCCCACCTGGAACATCAGCTACTGGTCCGATGCATGGTCTGGTGTCAGCTCACCTGCACACCTGTGAACCAGGGGAAAACCAGACATCCTCATGCAAGAGAATGAGGTTGGGCCCTTCCTTACCCCAGACGCAAAAACTAACTCAAAACAGATCAAAGACCTAACAGCTATGATTATAAAAGGCTTAGAGGAAGCAGGGTGGAAGCTCAAGACACTGGACTTGCCCGTGAGTGCCTGGGTGTGACCAGGAGGCACAGGCCTTGGCCCACATCCAGGTGTGAGCCCTGTGCGTAAGAGGGCACTGCCAGCAGAGCGGAAAGCAGCCTCGGGAAGGCGAGGAGTCGTTTTCAAATCGCGTCTGATGAGGTAACACACACCCAGAGCTGCAGTAGTTCCTTCTATATTTAACAGAAACACATAAAACGCGACTAAAATTGGACTTGAATAGACATTTCCCCCAAGTGAGACACACAAATGGCCAACAAGCACAAGAAACTGCTTAAACCTCACTCTTCCCCAGGGAGACACAGCTCACAGCCACAGTGAGATGTCACATCACCATCCGGATGACCACCAAACCAAAAACCTCCACAAAGTAAGTGCTTGTGAGGATGCAGAGAAATTGAACCCTTGCACACTGTTGGCAGGAATGTAAAATGGTGCCGCCACTGTGAAAAAGTGGCAGTTCCTGAAAATATTAAACATACAATTACCACATGATCTAGCAAGTCCACTTCCAGGCATAAACCCAAAGGAAAGAAAATCATTTTGTAGAAGAGAGATTTGTAGACCATGTTCACAGCAGCCAAAAGGTGAAAGCAACTCAAGTGCATCAACAGATGAGGGATGAGCATAGTCTGGTCCACGACGGAGCACCTCGCAGCTTGTGAGGGAAGGCGGTCCTGACCCACGCTACCACGGGAGGGAAGGAGATGCTGTGTGGTTCCAGGTACACGTGTGTCTACAGGAGTCAAATCCACTGAGACAGAGAAGACGGGGGCCTAGGGATGCAGGAGGAGGGCAGGGAGTGAGTGTGTAACATGCTGATCGCCCACTGTGGATCAGGTGCCCCTGAGGAAACACAGGTGTCACCTAGATTTGGGGGACGTGGCGATCAACGTGTTCACTGGGGACAAGTTCAGTCTGCAAAGATGAAAAGTATTCTGGAGATGATGGTGGTGATCTTTGCACAGCAATACAAAGGAGCTTAACACTACTGAAGAATTCACTGAAGCATGGTTAGGATGGTAAATTTTATGTGTATTTTACCATAATTAAAATTAAGTGACATTTGAATTTTCTATGTAGATTAAACAGTAAAAAGCTACTTGCATTCATCTGTGCAAATTTCATCCAAACAGCAGTCGGGGTGTCTCTCTCGTATGGCTCGGAAGGTCTTGAGCAGGAGGAACGACAGTGTGTGCTGAGGAGCCCACTGCCCCGAGCGCAAGGCAGAGAAGCCAGGCGGCGGGTGAAAGCCGCGTCCCGTCCTGGGCTGGCTGTGCTCTGAGCACCGCGTTCTCGCTGGGGGACTGAGTCAGTGGGAAGTGAGGGGGTGAGGGAGGGGCAACAGCCCTCCGAAAGGTCACGCCTGAGAGACGCATGAGCCCACGGAGTAGCCGGACAGCAAGGACCCCGCCCACACACGGGGGTGAGCCACAGGTGCCCCTGCTGGAGGGGAGGACCCACTGCACTGGCCACAGCTCCGGTCAGGACGGGCTGGTGCAGCCTCTCTTCAGGTGCACACGGCACCGTCCCAGCCAGGATTCTGGGAGACACTAAGCTCAGTCGCAGGGACCCCACTGCTTCCTGAAAGTGAGGGCCTGCTCCCTCTGTAGGAACGACAGAGGACGGAGCAGGGAGGCAGGCTGGTAAGAGTGTGACGCTGGGTGTTGGCAGGTCCCAGGGCCCCTCAAACGAAAGTTTCACTCAGGAGGTTCAGTCTCCCGTGTATTACCCTAATGCTTAAAGGAGGGCCTGCACCAATCGTCCACAAACTTCCTAAAGACAGCAGGGGTGGGGGCCCTCCCAAGGCGAGCCCGTCCTAGGAGACTGTTCACCCTGATGCCAAAACCAAAGACGTCACCAGAAAAGCACAGATTCATCTCTCTGGTGAAAACTCAGTAAAACCCAGCAAGCTAAACCCACCAGTGGTGTGCAGAAGCCACGTGAGACGTGGGTCTGGGCAGGCAGGGCTGGTTTGACATACAAAAGGTAATCACAAGACCAACTCAGCAGCTGCAGAAAAGCACATCTCAAAATCCAACACTTTCATGATAAAAGAGAAAAACGTCAACAAGGCAGGACTGGAAGGGAACACCTCACCCTGATGAGGGCATCCATGGAAATGCCCAGTTACACCACCCTCAT